CGTTGCCGTCGTATAGTATACACTCTGATCAAGCCCCCACTCCCCATGGGGATACATGGTCATCCGTAGCGCGTCGTCGTCCGTCGTCGCCGTCGTCGTCGACTACAGCGAGCATGCGCAGCACCCCCTCCCGCCCAGGGGGCATCCGCAGTGCGTCGTCGTCCACGGCGGCGCTGCGCAGCACCCCGCCCTCCACCCACCCATGGGGCACCCACAGTACGCGTCGTCGACCGTCCGTCGCCGACCTGTGGCCGTCGTCATCGGCTACAGCGGGCCTACGCCCGCCCCCCGGCTATTGGGCATCCGCAGTGCGTCGTCGTCGCCGTCGTCGTCGGTCGGTCGGTCTGTCGGTCGATCGGTTCTTCGTCGTCGTCGTTAACGGCGGTCTACAGCGGGCCTGCGCAGCACCCCTCCCCCCGCACCATCGGACATCCGCAGCGCGTCGTCGTCGTCGTAATCCGCGGTCGCGCTTGCAAGCACACTGCACACTGTGGACTCCCACGAAGTGGACGCCACCTTCTCTGCCTTAAACAGCTGCATTGCGTCAACATGAAAACCGCAAGAACCAATTCATACCCCCCGGCGTTATCCATATCACATAAATTTAGAATCCACTTTCTGAGGAGGGGAACCGCCAAGCGATATCGCCTAGAAACCCAAATTCGCCACCACGACATGTGCACGTTGAGGCGTGGATATATCAGAGTGAGGGGGCCGAACGGTCATTCACTGTCCCTGGGTGCGTGGCTGATGTGGAATTCCGCGGTGCGGATTCTTGTTGTTGTTGTTTGTTGTTGTTGTTTGTTGTCGTCGTCCCACCCGCAACCCGCCCCGCGACCCACCCGCGACCCACCCCGCGACCCACCCCGCGACCCACCCGCGACCCACCCGCGACCCACCCGCGACCCACCCCGCGACCCACCCCGCGACCCACCCCGCGACCCACCCCGCGACCCAACCCGCGACCCACCCCGCGACCCCCCCGCGGCCCACCCCGCGACCCACCCGCGACCCACCCGCGACCCACCCGCGACCCACCGCGACCTACCCCGCGACCCACCCGCGACCCACCTTCGACCCAAACCACGTTCAAGGTACAAACCACAATTTTCGGCGCCTGCGGCGGGCTTTTTTTGCATTCCTTCCAATTGGAGAGCCCGCGACACATCCCGTGACCAACTCGCGACCAACCCGCGACCCAAACCACGTTCAGGGTACAAACCACATTTTTCGGCGCCTGCGGCGGGCATATTTCGCATTCGTTTCAGGTGGAGAGCCCGCGGCCCACCCGCGACCACGTTCAGGGTACAAACCATATTTTCGGCGCCTGCGGCGGGCATCCTTTGCATTCGTTCCCTGTGGAGAACCCGCGGCCCACCCGCGACCCAAACCTCGTTCCGTGTACGAACCATTTTTTTTGGCGCTTGCGGCTGGCTGCTTTTGCATTCCTTCCAGGTGGAGGCGGAGAGCCCGCGACCCACCCGCGACCTAAACCACGTTCACTGAACAAACCAACGCCGCACAAGCGCGGCGGCGGATTCTTGCATGCCGTCTGAGCCCGCAAGGACCTCTTCACGCCCCGCACATCCACGCCAGCCCGTCCAGCAACTTTGCCCTGGCGAGTTGCCTTGATCAGAGAAGGCGGGGAGCATAAAGTGGAAAAAAGGATTGCGTTGCAGTTATCTTGGGAAAGGAGGGGGAGGCAGGATGAGTAAACAGGGGACGAGGAGAACGTGGAAGAAGAGAGGGTGTAAGGAGAACGTGGAGAAAGAAAAGGAGGAGGAGCAGGAGGACGAGGGGGAGGAGGGGGAGGAGGGGGAGGAGGAGGACGAGGAGGGGGAGGATGGGGAGGATGATGATGATGGACGACAATGGGAGGACGATGATGGAGGCCGATGAGGGGAAGGACGACGATGGGAGGACCATGATGAAAAGACGAGGGGGGGGAGAGGGAGGACGAGGAAGAAGAGGAGGAGGAGGACGACGAGGTGGAGGAGGAGGATGACGATGACGATGAGGACGAGGAAGAGGAGGAGGAGAAGGAGGAGGAAGAGGAGGAGAAGGAGGAGGAGGAGGAGGTGGAGGAGAGCGCCATCGACAAGGAAGGTGGGGGCCACGAGGTCCGCCGGCTCGACGACGCCCGCGTCGCCCGCGCCCGCCACCTCACTCTTATCCGCAATTGCGGGGTGCTACGTACCAAAAGGCTGTCAGGGACGGATTACCCGCGTCTACTTGCATGCACCGCGCCCCCCTCGCGAAGCCACGACCCCCAATCAACAACCACAGATCCGCGCTCCTGAGGCCACGCTCTCTCATTAAGAACGATGGGTCTCCGTCCCAAGCTTTCAAGAAGGCCCGCCATTCAGGCAACCAAGGCTACCAAGATGGCGCAAGATGCCTCCAAGATGGCCCAAGGTGGTCCCAAGGCGGCTCAAAATGGCCTTGAGACGGCCCAAGATGCCTCCAAGAGGTCCACCTGAGAATCTCAAACAGGGGCCGAAGAAGTCAAAAATAATGATTATACTTTGACTGTTTGAATGAATTTCGCATTCTTGCCTGTTCGAGCTTCCGTCAGGTCAAGACGACTCAAGATGCCTCCACGATGTCCCAAGGACGACCCAAGAAACGCACAAGAAGGTTCAAAAATGGTCTAAGGAGTCCCGCGACGGCCCAAGAGGCCTCCACGAATTGAGAGGTGGCGAAATGCAGGCCATGCAACTGGGGCCTTCGGTGGAGCTCCCTACGGAGGTGTGAAATGTGTGAGGGGTGTGCCGAAATGGCGAGGTGGCGGTATGCGGGCCCTGGCCTTCGGTGGAGCTCCCTATGGGGACACGAAACGAGTGAGGGATGTGCCGATCTGGCGAGCTGGTGGCATGCGGGCCCTGGCACTGGGGCCTTCGGTGGAGCCACCTACGGGGCCACGAATCGTGTGAGGGATGTGCCGAAATAGCGAGGTGGCGGCATGCGGGCCTTGGCACTGGGGTCTTCGGTGGACATCCCTATGGGGCCACGAAACGTGTGAGGGGTGTGCCAACATTGCGAAGTGGCGGCATGCGGGCCCTGCCACTGGGGCCGTCGGCGGAATTCCCTACGGGGCCACGAATCGTGTGAGGGGTGTGCCGACATGGCGAGCTGGCGGCATGCGGGCCCTGGCACTGGGGCCTTCGGTGGAGCTCTGGAGCTCCCTATGGGGCCACGAAACGAGTGGGGGGTGTGCCGACATGGCAAGGTGTTGGCATGCGGGCCCTAACACTGGGGCCTTCGGTGGGGCTCCCTATGGGGCCACGAATCGTGTGAGGGGTGTGCCGAAATGGCGAGGTGGCGGCATGCGGGCCCTGGCAGTAGGGCCTTCGGTGGAGCTCCCTGTGAGGCCACGAAGTGTGTGAGGGGTGTGCCCAAATGTGGCGGCATGCGGGCCCTGGCCCTGCGGCCTTCGGTGGAGCTCCCTATGGGGCCACGAAACGTGTGAGGGGTGTGCCGAAATGGCGAGGTGGCGGCATGCGAGCCCTGGCAGTAGGGCCTTCGGTGGAGCTCCCTATGAGGCCACATAACATGTGAGATGGCGAGGCGGCGGCATGCGGGCCCTGGCACTGGGGCCTTCGGTGGAGCCACCCACGAGGCCACAACCGTGTGAGGGATGTGCCGAAATGGCGTGGTGGCGGCATGCGGGCCTTGGCACTGGGGCCTTCGGCGGGGCTCCCTATGGGGCCACGAAGCGCTGTACTGAGTGTGCCGGCACAGGGACATGTGGAAGGCAGAGGCAGGGAAAGGAAGGAAGGAGGGGGAGGACGGAAGCGGGAGGAGGATAAATCGGGGCGCCGTCTCTTCAAAACGAGGACCCATTACCACAGGATGGTACACAAAAAAGAGACAGACAACAAAGAGACAGAAATGATAGTCTTCAGAAATGTAAGCTCCATATTGGGCCCCTTCCATGCTGATCTGAGGGGTAAACCACGCCAAAAACTATCACCCCCTGGACAACCGCGATTTTTCAGCATTGGCACTCAGAGAAAATGATTCCCGCAAGGGGGGAGGCAGAAATTATTATAATCATTTTGGAATCCAAATGGAATCCGATTGGGATCCAATCGGAGTCCGATTGGGGTCTGACTGGGATCCGTCCTATTGAGATTCGATTGGAATCTGATTGGAATATGATTGGGGTCTACTTGTAGTCCAATTAGAACTCTTTTGTAATCACAGTGGACTGCGATTGGAATCGGATTTGGATCTCATTGACGTTCGGTTGGAGTCCCATTGGACGCCGATTGGGACCTGATTGGAATCCTATTGGGTTCCGATTGGGCATCTTATTGGAAACCTACTGGGACCTGGAGGACTCCGATAAGAATGCAATTGAAACCTATTGGAATCCAAGTGGAATCCGAATGAAGTCCAATTGGAGTCCTTAGGAATCCTTCGGAATCCTGGGGGGCCTGAGAAGTCGAGGTGTGGAGTATCACTTCCAGGGAGCGAGAAGTGGTATAGGTTCGCCAGAAGGGGGGATCTGATTGTTTTCTTTCGGTTATTTGTTCATATAGAGCTCGCACCAAAGGTCACATGCATTTGCTGCGATGGTCTCCCTCACCCTCGCCGGCAACCGCAGCGCCCGCAGGCACGTTGTAGTGGGGGGGGGAGAGACGGAAGGGGGGGCTGAGCCCTTGCCGCCTGCCTCTACCGCTCCTCCCACTTCTTCCCTCTCCTGTCTGTGCCGTGCTGGCCCCGCCCGCCAGCTGTGAGGCGCCCCTCCCTCCCGCCTCCTCCTCCCCTCCTGTCTGGAGTCACTCTGTCGCCGCTCTCCGAGCTTGGTTCGGGTAGGCCGGCCCCTCTTGCCCCGTTTTCGCTCGCCTTCTGTCATCCCCTGCTACCTTCAAGAACAAGAGCCTGTGGCGTCTCAGCAGCACGGGATCATTCCCCAAAAGCCCACGGTTCGACTACGACGAAGAGAAGACGGCGACGGAACCGTTTTTGCCCCACCGGCGAGGGAGGAGGAGCGCCTGGCGCGCCGAGTGCAGCGGCGGGAGCCTCCCCGTGGCCGCCTTTGCGGGGCCGAGAGATCGCGCCGCGCCTGGTCGGGGGAGGGGGGGCTGCAGGCTGCGAGGAGGGCCCCCCTCCCCCCCATGGCCCCCTCCCCGAACCAGCCTCGAACGCATTCCTATCCCCGAGATCGGCAAGCCCAAGGCGATGACAGTCTCAGGGGTTTGCCCTCAGAAACTGCGGGAGTCCTTCAGATCGGCACCGAGGTAAGGTTATGCCGAACATAAGAATAGGGATATGCTTCAAGCTGGTGATCCCCATCTTCGAAGGAGACAGACAGCATGGCATACATAGAACCCGTCGGAGGTCCGCGCGGACTTGTCGACTCGGCGCTAAAACCCCCTTGCCTGGCGCGCGGAGCGCGCCAATAGCGGCGACGGAGGCGCCGTCAAGGGAGGGTCGCGCGCCGACCCAAGAAATCCGCGCGCACCTTCGAAAGTTTAGGTGTAAGCCTTTGCAGTTTGTCTCCTTCCTCCAGCACCCCCATCCTCCCAGGTGAGGAGGGGGGGGGGGTGAAGGGAGCTCAGTCGCCCGCTTCTGCTCCTCAGGTCGAGCTGGCACCCTGCTCGTGGCGGTAGTGCCTTGCTGTGGCGACCGCGCCCTGCTTGGGTGTGCCCTGCCAGTGGCAATTTTGCCGTGCTTGTGACATCGCGCAACTGCGTTGCAATCACTGCGATGACTCCGAGTGCATCTGTTGGTGGAGGAGGAAGAGAACTATGACATTTGGATTAACATCCTTCCCCTCCCTTCCCCCTCCTTCTCCACCTCCCTCATTCCCCTCCTCACCTGTCCTCCTCCTCAACTGCCTCCGCTTCCTCGTCGTCCACGTCCGTGTCTTTCCTCCGCCCTGCCCACCGACCCCGCCCCTCGTCCGCCTCTGCCTCCGCCTCCACCGCCACCTCCACCTCCGCTTCTGCCTCCGCCTCCGCCTCCGCCTCCTCCTCCTCCGCCTCCTCCTCTTTAAACAGGAAGCGGGGAAGACGGGGGATATGTTTCCACCCTGGTTCTCCTGTGTACTGGCTTCGGGGCTGCCAAGAATGCCCCTGGCCCGAGGCGTTTCCAACTTTTTGTTCCACCTTGGAGCCGCTGGGGCCTTCTGGGCCTCGTAAAGGTGCTCTGGTGGCCATCTGGGCCTTCCGAGACGTCCTGGGGGTACCTTGGGTCAGGGACACATTTGGCAACAACCGCAAGTCTCTGGCTCCCCTGCAAGTGACTGGCTCCAGAAATCCTGAACCCAAACATGTTGGCACCTCTTGTAAAGCTACGTGCTGCCTCCACCGCCAGCCTTCCACCGACTGCTCCAGTCGACAAAGAGAAGTCGAATTCTTCTCGAATTCTCGAGGGCAAAGCCCTTCCTGAAGCGCCCAAAACTTGTAGCGGTGGTACTCCGCCTTTCCCACGAAAGGGGAGGCGCGGGAGGAGGATGAGGTTGACGAGGTCTCCGACTAGAAGGAGGGAGAGGAAGATACTCAGGGTGACGGATTGTCAACCTTTTCTTCCTTGTCCTCCTGTTCCCTGCCCCCCCCTGGTACAGTCGGACCTAACACAGAAGAGCATCCTTCAAGAAAATGAAATCCTCCGCCGGGCCAAACTGAAGAACATTCGAGGGTGCCCTCCCCCAGGATGCACAAGAAAATCCAACAAACATGAAGAACATCAGGGTATCCTCCCCGAGCCGACCTCGATCTTATACCTCGGTCAGACTGCATCCTCACAAAACTTCGAACCACTTCAAAACATTCGAGCACCTGTCTCCTCCTCCCGAGGCCTCCGGAGGTCGTCGGAGGTGCTCCTGGAGGTCCCTGGAGGCGTCGGGCCCACCGATGTTCAGACACACAACTCGCCCCGAGGATAATGAGGTGCCGGACATCCGACGTGCCATTTTTTTACATGCGGGGTCCTCGGATCTCTCGACTCCTTGCCTCTCGACTCCTTGCCCAGAGCCCGGCTGTCATCCTGAGTTGTCTCTTTTGATCCCAGCTCTCCCGCCGCCGCCGCCGCCGCCGTCGTCGTTGACGCCGCCGTCGTCGTCGACGTCGACGTCGTCGTCGTCGTCGTCGTCGTCGTCGTCGTCGCTGCTGTCGTCGCTGTCGTCGACGACTCCGTCGCTGCGACGTCGGCGACGGCGTCGCCACCGTCGTGGTCGTCGTCGCCTACGTCGGCGTCGCCCCCGAGAGCGGCGGTAGCGGGTGGGGGGGGGCGAGGGAGGGCGCGCGGCGGCCCGCCTCTTGCTCGCGGGGAGCGCGGTGCGGTGCGCCTCGGGGGCGGGGCCGTCTTTCTTCTCGCCCGAGGGAGGGCGCTGCGAGCCATTCCTGGCAGGACAGCTGCGCACGCAGTTCAGCGCAGGCGGGATGGGCGGGATTGCGGCAGCGCGTTCCCCACTTCCGCAGCCATGTGCCTCGGAGGCCCCACAGGGGGCCGTGCCAGCAACACGCTGTGAACTGTGCGCGCCAGCGTTGAGTCCAGGAACAGAAGCATCGGATCCAGTCCCGCAGACGCCCACGGCGACACCGAAACAAACAAGCGACCGAACCGACAGTGAAGCCGAAGCCGACCGACGCCGGTGGGGCGGAAAAGCAGCCCAGAAAGGGCGCGGCGGCGCAACGACCGACCGAACCGAACCGGCCGAACGCTGCCGACCGCGAAATAGCCGAAGGGACCCTCGAGCCCAAACCCGCAACTTAGTTTCTCTCCTCAATCCCGGCATTGGCCCTCTTCAATTCGGTCTCCCGGGTCTGTCACGAGGCCCTCCCCCGGCCATCAACACCTATACCTGCGGGGCCTGCGCGCTGAAAAAGCACCCCATCGCATGTCTGGGAGTCCACGTTGTCGTTTGACTTCCCACGTCGTGAGCCTCCGGGGCTCCCTCGTGGCCATGGCTGGGACCGCCCTGAAATCTTTGCCAAAACGCAAACTCTGGATGGGCCGAGGGTCCCTTTGAGGCCTGGGACCCCCCTCCCTCACCTCCCCATCCCGGTACCCTTCCTTCCTCCTCCTCCTCCTCTCCTCCTCCTACTCCCTCCTGCTGCGTATTCTCATGCTACTCCTGATTCTCCGCACCCTCCCCCTCTCTTCCTCCCCTCCTTTTCCCTCCTGCTCCTCCCCGTCCTCCGCCTCCAGGGGGCAGCGGGCAAACTCGCCGTCCTGAAAGTGTCTGCCTCTGACATGTCGGGCTTCGGCCAGGCCTGCCCTGTCTTGTACATGTCCAGGTTCGGCCTGCACAGCCCAGGCCTGACCTCGGACGCGCGGCGATCGATTGAGGCAACGATCGCGAAACCACGGACGCGGAGGAGGAGGGGAGACGGGGAGGACAATGAGGAGAAACACATAATGGGAGAGTGGACGAGGAGAGGTGAGAGAAGAGGATTGGAGCATGTGTTGTAAGCTCACAGCAAGGAGCGCCCACGAACGTACGGCAGGTTCGTGTCGTGCCGACCCCAGCGTTGGTTTTTGACACCGCAGGGATCGTTCAACCTTGAACGATCGGCCGCTGCCGCAACGTCCGATCGTTCAACATCGATCGATTCTGGGTCGCCGGCGGCGTTCAACCTTGAACGCCCGCGCTGGGGTCGCCGCTGGTCGACACGACGCAAACCTACCGTAAGCGAGGCGACACGGGTGGCTCCTCCTCCTCCTCCTCCTCCTCGTCCTCGTCCTTGTCCTCGTCCTCCTCCTCCTCCTCCTCCTCCTCCTCTTCCTCCTCCCTCCTCGTTCTCCTGCTCGTCCTCCTCATCCTCCTTGTCCTCCTCCTCCTCCTCCTCCTCCTTGTGGCACCGCGGCGCAACCTCGCGGGACCCACCGAGCGCACTGGGCGCCAAGGAGCACCCACGAGGCGGCACGGACGGCAGCGCGGCACAGCCTCGGCGGGCCCACCCAACGCACTGGGCGCCCACTCCTCCTCCTCCTCCTCCTCCTCCTCCTCCTCCAACTCCTCCTCCTCCCCCTCCACGAGGCAACACGGACCCGTCTCATGATTTTACACACACACAAAAGTAAAGCCCCCCCACATACAGTCATTGTTTGGGCAACATGCGTACATATCATCCCATACACGAAACACACATGCACATATGTATGTGTATATATATATGTATAAATATATCGTGCGTATGTACATACAATGAACAAAAGCACACCAAGACTTCGCACGCGATTCGCGCGCGCTTAGGTTCTAACGCGTCGTGTTCCTCGACAACACCACAGCTGCGCACGTGTATGAATCCGCCGGCCCTGCCGGCGTGTGGAAGACGCTATTCGTCGTCGTCGTCCTCGTCGTCGTCCCTGTCGTCGTCGACCATGTCGCGTCACGTTTGTTTCCCTTCCCCTGGACTCGTCGCGCCCCCACGTTTCAATGGGCCCTCCTCCTCAAGCGGGCCAACCAAAGCGAAACCACAGTCAACTTGAACTTGCGTCGAAGGGAAACCCCTTCCCTTTGATCTCTTCGCCGCCCAGAGGGAGGGTCCCAGGTGGGGTCCCGGGGGGGGGTCTTCGGGGGTTCCTGTGAAGGGTCGGGGGTGGGGGAATCCGGGGCAAAACAATAACAAACAGGATGAGGACCATGCAGTAAGAGGTTGGGGATATGGTGTATGATGGCGTACCGTCCAGAAGACTGATCGGGTCTTGTTTTTGGCACGATGGTGCACTGCCGAATCCTCAAGCTGTCCCAACAAATGCGGCGCCGGCGTCTTGAGCCAGACGCCGACGACACGCTCGCTACGCTGGCTGTACATATGCCTTTCTGAACCCCTTTATCAGAATCGAGGGGGGAGGAGACGAGCAGAGCGAGCTGCAACATGAAGCTACATTTTCCACGGAGAAAAAAGCGCAACGTTTCGTGTTGAGCGAGCTGCGAAGCGGTGGCGGGCAAGATCCGGCATTGAGCCAAGATCGAGCCGCAACGTAACGGCAGGAGTAGCCCTGCGGGGTCCAGCCATGAGGCAAGGACCCAAAGGCGCAGACAGCGCAGAGAGTAGAAAATTACAGGCAGAACGCAAAAACGAAAGAGATACTCATCTCACCCGTGTTTCCACTCCAAATAGAAACATTCCGCCGGCTCGTCATGAGCCAGGTCCATCCTTTGAGGACGGAGCCCTGTGAGGAATGTCAGTCTTCAGCTCTCTTAAAGGATTGCGTTCCCACCATTACTTGCAACAACAAGTCCCGTTCAATACTGCCTTTGGTATGTCAATCGGAACTCATGTCCCGTGTATCGCACCATTGTATGCTGTGTGCGATACGTTTATCCATCATCGGTCTTATCTGGCGAGTGCTTCCTACCAGTGTACGTTATGTAAGCTTTTCGAAGTCTCTGCTGGACAAGGATTTGAATACCGACTCAGCATCGATGGCGAGGGAAACTTTGATACAGAGTCCGCCGATTTCAAGTACATGTTTGAGTTGTGTGAGTGTAAGCAGTACCGCCTTTAGCTCAGGTAGGGTGACAATGGTTGGGTAGCAGTCTTCTAAGTTATGGGCTGCTGCTAACGTCTCCGCAGAGCAGCTGGATCTTAGTTGCAATCGATGCGACTTGCAATAGGCACTGATCCGGTGTACGACAGATTTGCCATTGCACGTGTCCACGCCGAAGCAAGTTGGCACCTCTGATGCCATGCCCTGTCGTCTCGTCCTCAGCGTCCCCGGTCAAACGTCTATAGCTGGAGTCGCTGTGTAGGTCGACTTCCCCAGTGGGCTTCATGGCAGGGTAAACAATCTTCGGAGGTTGACTCGGCAGTTTTCGCGTAGTTGCACTCAGTCGCCGCACCTGAATATTGGTAGGTTCTTGAACATGTTGTAGAAAAACAGCATATACCATCAAACATACCTGGGTTGTAAGGGCGCATGCGAATGCTCCACGGAGGCTGACGAACATGTCTGCCACACATCTCGTCGCTTTCTCCTCGGCATCCGCCCCCGTAAGGTCGGGATGCTGGAGGGGCCGAGGTTGTTTACTATATTCGTCCTGATCCAAGGTTGCATATCCATGTTCGTTCTGCGTGTATATGACGGCGCAATTAGTGTAAGTATGCTTGTCAAGCTTACATGCACCGAACGTGCATTCGACGCATTTCACCGTGGCCACGGCCGCACGGGGCGCAGGTGAAAATATCGCAGCCCATTTTTTCCATTTTTGAATGCGATATGTCACAGATTTTTTTCGGGGGCGCGCGCGTTTCCAACGTCCTCCCAGTGTGCGGCACACGTGGTCGGGCCAATACTTGCGGTCGTGGCTGTTATCGTTGTCGCAATAGCCCGTCTGATTGCCGTTGCGATGCCATGACCCGCGGTCGAAGATGCAACGCCACCTTCGCTGCGCCTGCGGATCCAACCGCATCCACAGTCGCACCACGAACCGCTGTCCTACGCGCAACCGGGGCCGCAACGGCACCCTCGTCGCACCAGTAGCCGCCAGAAACAAAAGAACGCCATTGCAAGCCAACCCAAGAGTCGCAACGGTTGCCGCGGTCGAGGCACCAACCTCGCGCCCGCGACCGCATCGTCGCCCTCTCTCAGGCCACGCTAACAACCGCCCCGGCGCCTTCGCACATTTGCCCTGCGCGGTCGCCCCACCTTCCGAGACCGCGGCAACCGCAACAGCGAAAGCGGTTGAGGCAGCAATCAGAGGATTACCAGCCGCGGCGCTGCCGCGACGCGGTACCTTGGCGCCACCGCCCTAAAACCAAGGTCGCTGCCGCAGCACGCGCGCGCGCGGTCGTCGCAGCCGCTATCGCAGCTGCTCCCGCGCAAGCCGCTTCTCACCCGAAGCGCGCTTGCGATTGCCACTATAGACAATGTCAGCGTTTGGGCCAAAATGGCGACTGGGGAGGGGAAGGCGAAATTGGGGGAGAAGAGAGAGCAGAGCAGGGGTACGATGGGGGGAGGACATGGGGAAAAGGGCACTCTCAGTTGCGGTCGCAACCCTTGCATCATCCAGGGCTCGGGCCAACGTGGCGAGCGGGGGATTGATATGGGGAACACGAGGGGGGCGAGGCAGGAAGCAGGAAAGGTGCGACCGCGTGCCGGATGCACCAACTGAGCAACATTCAAGAAATCACATTCTAAGTCCCTGCATGGGCGAGCAAAAGACGCAGGGCGAGGCCGATCACCCGAAGTTCCACGGCCCCTGCAATGCGCGATGGGGGCTAAGCTTACCAGGGCAGGGGTCAGAGATCTGGCCACGCACGACGCGCGACCTCCTGGTTACGCTACGCGCACTTCCTTACATGTTGCGTTTTGTTTTGCAACCCGTGCCGTTGGCCCTAACACGTGGTTGCCTGTGGCATCCGGCCTGTATTTCTCCTTCTGCCCATATCCCTTCCCTTTCCCCTCCATGCGCGCGTGCCCGAATGACATCCGCCGCCGCGCCTCCGGCGCGTTGGGGCGCGTTGGATTGCTCGCCCGCTGCGCGGTTGATGATATGTCTGCATGTCGGGGTGCGGCCGCCCTGCCAGCAGCATGCCTCCGAAGGCTTTGTTTCGAAAGATCAAATTCGCCAGCGCCTTGTTCATTTCCAGGCGTCGGCGGGCTACCCTGGGACATCCCGAGAAAACCTGCAAGTGCCCCAAAGCTAATTCAAAAACGGCCTGAGGAACCCTGAAACTGCCTAAGATGACTCCACGGCGCTCTGCGCGGCCGTGGGATCTTCCCATGGACGCCCACGAAGATCTCGAACAGGGCCCGAAAAAATGAAACACATCACAACTATATAGACGGTCACTCCGTCTTTGCCCCCGAGAATGTTCCGCAGCCGATCGCCACGGTGGAGCCTCAAATAACTCCCCAGGAAAACTCGTGAGCATGGCCAGCAAGCCTGCCCCGAGAGAGCCCGCGGGCGGCCCCCAGGCCGCCCAAGCACCGTTGGCGCAACCCGCGAAAGCCCCGAAACGGCCCCGCAGCCCAACCCCACGGCATCAAGAAACTTCAAGTGAGGCTCAGCGAGTGGCCTCAACGGCATCATCACACCCCAAACGGGCCCGAGACCCCCGAGGTGCCTCCGGAGCGCCCCACGCGGGTCCGCGAGAAGCCCGCGACAAGGCCTAGGAAAGCCCCTATGAGACACATAAGCGACGAGAGGCTTCCAACGACGTCTCACAAGGAGAAGGGGAAGGGGAGGGCGACGAGGCAGATGACGGTGAAAGGAAAGAGGGACACCAGGATGCAAATGAAGAGGCGGCGTCCACGCATCGCGCCACTCCAAATAAAATGGTCCGCTGGGGGGATATTGAACTCCAGATCCGCC